CGTGAGTCTGTTGTGGCATTTAAACATAAGAGAAGTATGCAGATCTAAATTTTCTGCTGGTGGATGAGAAGCAGGAGCTGTGCTTGGACTGATCCCCATAACCACATAGCTTGAATATTGAGCCCCTCCTCTCTGGGGTGTGCCTAATGGCCCAGCAGCCCTCACCAGCAAAAGCTGTCCTCAAATTTGGGCTGTGGGGAGTCATGCTCTGGATGACATCAGCCTTTTCTCAGCTCTATCTCACTGGTTTAGGCTGCAGCATTTTTAGTGCAGGGACTGTCCCTTGCCATGCATGTGCCCATACAGCTCCTAATGCAGAGCTCCCCACTGCTGGGGGTCTCAACTGGTGCAGACAGACATGGGGTGGGGGGATGCCCAGGCCCTTTCGTGCTGGGAGCTGGTGCCCCTCAAACAGCAGTGCTGTGATCCTGGGGGAAAGTGGGAACAAGGAGGAAGAAAGGATGTTTAAAAACACACCACTTACTGCTCATATTCTTCAACGACCTCTTCAGAGTCCGACATGCCTGGTTATCTGGCAGAATTCAAGGCAGGTTGGAAAAAGTGAGGGTTAGGAGCTGAGATAAGGACAAACACAGCCTGTCCCCCAGTACCGAGACACAGGCACAGAGATGCTGCGTCTCTCCAAAGCACTTGGAGCTTCAAGCTGTCCCCAGCCAAGCTGTGACAGTGTTATCTCGGCAGAGATAAGGCTCCCCCCTCCCCTCCCATCCCAGGATCACAGCTCGCCCCAAATAGGAGGCAGGAGATTAGGCACAGCCTCATGCGACACTGATAACTGCTGTCAGGAGCCGTGTCCAGGACACGCAGCTCCCTGTGCCGCAGACATCTCAGGGCACTGCATTTGCTTAGGGCACGGGAAAATAACCCAATTATAACGTTCAGCTTGTTTTGCTTCCTGACTATTCTTAGCTCAGTTGGAATATAGAAACTCACAGGCATGTCCCGTTATCTCAAATTTACAGCCCTGTGCAAGCCACAGCACAAGATCTTGGTGAGACCTCCCAGCCCAGCCCTACAAGTGCAGAGCGTGCTTGGGAAAGGTGCAATCAGGGCACAGCAGGAGCATTTCTCTCCTGGTCCTGGCCCTGAGACTGAGGTTAGTGAAAAGGAATAATTCACAGCCTGGTTTAGCAATGTGTCTAGTATTTGTGCCCAAACAGCCATGCTCACCTTCCCAGCACACCCGTCTCCCTTCCAGCCATGGTCAGGAGGACTTTAGTCATCATCCCACCCATCGAGCTTCCACCCAGTGCTCCACCGCAAGGTCTGCACAGACCAGCCCCATGCTCAGCCCCAGCCCTGGGCATCCCAGAGCCACCCTGAGCATCAGCCCAAGCCCCTGCAGAGCCCGTCCGCCACTCGTATTTGTGCCAGACCTCAGCAAAGCTGAGATGCAGCAGGACAACGCGAGGCAGCTCTAGAAATAACCTCCATGTGCTAAACCACCTGTTCCCAGAGCTGCACCACTTCCCTCCTCCTGCTGCCGAGTGTCTGAGAACAACTGGTCGTGGCTACATCTGTTGGGCATTTATTACCCGGGATGGGTAGGACAGGCTCAGGGATCGCTTATTCAAGATGCTGAATGCAGGGCTGGAATCCACAGGCATGGGAAAGACGTGTTACAGGAGGGGTGCCTCTGCATGCCCGTGGTTCCTGGGGGGTTGTCAAATCTCACTTCTGAGCAGTGACTCAGAAGGTGCTTTTTGAAGACAAATGAAGTCAGAACTCAGCCCCTTCTTGGGTTCACAGTGTGGTTCTGCCATCATTGTTCCCTTCCCTATGATGGACCTGGCCCTAAGCACCCCCCTCCAGAACCATCCCCTTGATGTCTGCTCCCCCTCGAACATCAGTTCTTTGCCCCACTTTTCCCCCAGGCTCAGCATGGTCCTGCTATCCCCGGAGTTTGGGTGACCTCTGAGCACCCAAGACTTCATGTAATCCTCTCACAACAGATGAGCTGAGACTCCCTCCTGGCCACAACAGCGCAAACATGCATTTGTGAAATCTTATTTCTACATCTCCATTCACCTCCTCTCTCATACATCACCAGATCCCATTTGCTGGGGAACAGCAACAAAACCCGGACTGTTAAGGGGCTACACAAGAAAAAAAAGTGGCTCTAAGAAATATTTATCCATCCTCTGCACAAAAACAGATAAACCTTTCCATTAAAGCTTTGAAATCTTGTTTTGAAAGAATTAAGAGAACCCAGCAGACATATTACAGGGTTAAAGAGGGAACATTGCGCATATTATTGATTGCAAAAAATCTCCCATCATTTGCTGTGTATTAAATAATCCAGACATCCCTCCTGTTCCTTAAAATCCCCCTCTCCATTAGCTCAGGACTGGCTGATCACACCTCTGGTGGTGAGTTATCTTCCATGGTTCGCAGTCCCTGCTTTCCTCCAGGCTACCCAGATATGGAGCTCTAATTTCCCAGCATTTGCTCCAGCGTGGGTCACATCATTGCTCCCTTCCCGCTTGGCAGGGTCGGACCATGCACAGGAGCATCCCACCTCTAACCTGCCCTGTGGGGTGGCCTGACTCTCCCATGGGCATCACATCCCTCCTGTCCCCTCCAGAGACACAGGCAATAAGGATCTATGAGATCCCCAGGGCAGCCAAAATCCTTCTCAGCCACCTTGGCACACATCGGGGTCATTCAAAAGGCATTGGGCAAGTTACACCCTGCCCTGGGGAGAGTCCTGATGCTTCAGGGGAATGCCTTCATGGCAAAAGACATCCCAGTGCTGGGAAGGGCCATCAACCCTGACCCAAATCCCTTTTGGATCTTTAACAGCTGCCCGTGAGCATCCTTCTGCTGAGCATCCCACGCCACGAGCGGGCACCCTGCGGCCCCAGCCTTACCTCTGCCACGGGTACCGGTGAGATCCCAGGGAGCCGAGGGGAAGCTGGCGGGTGTCTGGGAAATGCTCTTTTGGGGCAGGAGGCTTTAAGGGGGCTCCAGCGCCCACCCCGGGGCGGGCAGCGCCGGGAGGAATGTGCCCGGCGCCCAGCGAGGAATGCAACACTTGTGAGCTGCTATTTCAGCAGCCGCAGCCCCGGCCCCCTCCACTGCTCCCCCTTCCCCCCCCGGAGCCCATATAAGCCCAGCCCAAGCTATTGTGTGGCCTCAGGGATTTGCTATTTTAAACCCTCCGGACTGAGATACGCGAGTGCCCGAGGGGCTGACACAAGCCAGCCAGCTGTCACTTTCTAGGGCTGGGGACACTGATAAGGCAGCGCTGCCATGAGCAGAGGACCAGACCCTCCATCGCAGCCCCCAACCCTGGCTCACCAAGCTGCTGCACTGGTTCCAAGATGCTGTAAAGGGAAGGAAAGAGACTCGGGCTGTTTCTACCCCCCGAGGACACATTTGTCTTGGGTTTTTATCTTTTTTGCCCTTGCCAGAAGAAGGAAAGCGAACTGTTCTCCATCCCAGCCCAGGAGCAGGTGACCGGGAATGTTTTAGAAAGAGCAACTTTTATTAGAAAAAAAAAAAAAAAAAAGGCAAAGAGAAAACCAAGTTTTTTCCAAAGCCCAACAAGCAAGATCAGATCCAGGGGCAGCAGTAGAGTCCCACACCAAATTTGGACACCACAACGGGTGCTCAAGGCACAGCCCCAGCCCATTGACTGGCCCCAGCACAAGGATTTGAGCGTCACTTTACAGACTGCCCACGGCATCCTAGAGCCGTCCTCGAGAGAGCACCCCGCATCCCTGCTGGGTGGGCTCAGCAGCCTAGGGAGTGCAGGACTGGCAGTCTGCATAGCCATGGGCAAAATGTTCAGGAGAAAGAGTGAAAGGAAATGGGGTTTGCAGAAGGGGCATGGAGCTGAGCACAGGGCGCTCAGCTCCATGAAGCCCCCAAAATAGGGTTGTGGCCCTGATGCTCTTCCTGTATCACTAAGTGAGAGGGGTGACTGCTCATATAGGGCAGGGGAGGGTAAAGGCAGGGTGAAGAAGGCCAAATCTCTGCCTCCACCTCAGCTGTGTGCTGGAGGGAAGCACCAGGGCCATCAGGTCAACCCTTCCTCCATGCGGCATCCCCAAGCTCCTCCAGTGCACGTGTGACTTTGCAAACAGCGTTTGCCCTTGGTTAGATCGCTTCCAGCAGTGACAGCCTGGGAGGGGAGGTGACATCTGCCTGCCCCACCTCACCCCACATGAGCCAGGCAGCGGGGATGGACACAGTCCATGGATGTGCAGGTGAAACTCCTTTGGCCAGGCAGCTTCTTGCCCCACTGACATTGTCCAGCTGCAAGGAAGACATATAGGTTGATCCCCTTTTCAAGTGCAGTTATGGGGCATGGGAGGAGATTAGGAGCAAAAACACCAAAATGTTGTGGGGAAAAGAGGCAAGAGTCTGCCTTCAGCATTTACAGGGAGCCTCCAGGCCTGGGCATTCCCAGACAGGCAGCAAGTGAGGACTGAGGGTGCAGGAATCATCTTCCAGCCTTCTTCCTTCCCATCCCAGAAGCAGAGGATCCCAGAGATCTGGGGTGCACCTGCACATGGCGCAGGGGACTCTTGTGGCAGTGGGCTGCTGGACGGTTGGGTAAGGCTGGGCTTTGATCTTCAGAGCAAAAGAGTTTTTCACAGGTCATCTGATATTATTACAACTGAGATTATCACAACTGCAAAAGAAAGTGAGAAACAGTGAGGCCAGGCCTGAGGCTGCACCCACCCCGCCAAGGCAGCCACTTTAACCAGGACCATACTTGTCCTGAACAGGGGAGGGAGTGGGCAGGCATCCCCTAAATCCGCCACATGCCACTTGCCTTCCTCTCCCAGACCAGACTCCTCCTCACCCTTGCAGCTGCCTCCAGTTGTCCCCTCCTGCTGACTCCCCCAAGTCATGGGGTCCTGGATGTCCCCCACGACTCCTCTCCCCCCCCGTAGCCTGGTTCTCCCACACCTGCCCTGTGGGTGATGCACCTCAGGCAGGTCTCAGCTCTGCCCCCAGCTCAGAGTATGTCAGGGCAACTCCATATCTACCTTGGTGTCTCCAGGGGTGTTTCCAGGATGCTTCACCCAGACATCACGGTTTGGCAGGCTGTTTATTTTCCTGATGTCCTGCAAACAGGAGAGTTGTAAGTGACACAAGTTCTCCCACACCTGCCCTGTGGGTGATGCACCTCAGGCAGGTCTCAGCTCTGCCCCCAGCTCAGAGTATGTCAGGGCAACTCCATATCTACCTTGGTGTCTCCAGGGGTGTTTCCAGGATGCTTCACCCAGACATCACGGTTTGGCAGGCTGTTTATTTTCCTGATGTCCTGCAAACAGGAGAGTTGTAAGTGACACAAGAAGGTTTTCCCAGTGCATCACGTGCAGTGTTGTCTTGGTCTGACTTTAACCAAACCTTGAAGCATCCGTGCCCCAGGTAAAAGCACCCGGCTTTGAGATCCTGCACCTTGGAAGACCTCAAAACCAAGTGCAGCTCCAGCCCACAGAGGTGGAGGGCAGCAGCTGTTATTATAGGAAAAACTGATAAAGGAGCTGCAAGCTTTACCTAAGAGTGATCCCAGGAGCAATCCCTTTCCTGGCAGACACGGAGCCAGCACAGCCTCCCGGTACAGACATGTTTGGGCAGTGCTAATCTCTGCAGCTCAGCACTGGGGGTGCCTGGGCTTGCCTGCGCAGGCTGCAGGGCTGGGCTGGAGCTGCCCCTCCTGGTCCTGTACCCAGGCGGCTGCAGGAGACTCTGCTACGAGTGGTGGCAAAACACCTGATTGCTGTAAACAGCGATACCCCCCCCAGGACTGTGCGAGCTGGAGCCCTTGCTGGGTCTCTCCTTTCCCACTACAGTAAACTACCCTGAGGCCAAAGGGTGTCCTGTCCCTCTCCCTTGCATCCATGTGCCCAGAGCAGCCACAGTGGCAAAGTGCTGACCTCTGAGTCCCATTAGCTGGGCACTTTGTCCCCATGGCTACAAGACACCCCACTTTTGGGGGCTGGGATACACACAGGGATGCAGATGACTCCAGACCCCGCATGCAGCAGGACCTCTCAGTGCACACACAGTTCTCCAAGCCCCTGCAAGTGCCAGAGGACCAAGCATAGCGCTCATCTCCCTGTGGCCTCCCAGTCCTCCAGACACTGGTAGAGATGGCATCATGCTGGGGTGATCTCTCTCACTGGTGGCAGGGTCAGGTCCCCTCGGACATGCACCCAGCTGGTGTCTGCTCCCTCCTCACCCCACCAAGGACTGGGAGCAGCTGTCTCGGGCACTTTGGGCTCAGGATCAGGGCACAGCGACAAGCAGAGCCCCAGCCTCACCATGGTGGCCCTGCAGCATCCAGATCTCCAAACCTGGCTAAGCTCCTCTCAAACCCTCTAATGCATTCAGCCAAAGGTGCATCAAACCCTTCAAGCCCCCACCACCTCAGGTGCAGGGACATGTCCCACCAGGTTGCCTGGTCTTGGGGCTCTAACCCAAGATGTTGGCACAAGCCAGTACCTTGATCTTTTCCTCCTTGTCAGGCTCCTGAGCTCGGCTGATCCACAGATTAATGCGGGATGTCACCGATCCCGGAATCTTCAGGTTGTCCTGTGGCACAGAGACACCACGGTTACAGCATCATCTCTCCCACTGCATGAACATAACCCAGGACAGTCCCCAGAGCATGGGCAGACTGAGGAGACCCACAACAGACAGAGACCAGCCTACACCTTGGCTCCATCCCAGGTCCTCAAATACCAGCATGTCCGCATGAATCCACCCACCACCAGAGCACAGCTTCGGTGGCGGTCGGTGCCCCAGCCCAGCGCTGCCTGGCACCACTCAACAAGCACGGAACTTCCAGCAAACCACCTCTAGGCATCCAAACAGGGGAAGATTTGTCCAAAAAAATGGTACCTCCCTGGCACAAGACCCTGCTGGAAGGTCCTTTCTTGGTCCAGCTCCTGTCCTTACCTTCCTGACAGTGAGCGGCTCAGCCTTGCTGGGAGCACTCCCCTCGAAGAAGTTGCGCTTGCTGGCCACCCCCTCCGAGGACAGCAAGAGGCTCTTCTGAATAGTCAAGGATGATTTCACTGCCTCCGAGCGCTGGGAGGAGAGAGGGTCATCAGCAGGGGCTGTGCTGTACCCCAAGCGGTAAAAAGCAGAGTCCTGCTTCTGGTTCGCATCCCGAGCCCATTGGGGTCTGCTCCCTCCTTGCCCATCAGCAGCTCATGGGATTGTCCCACTGCTCCCCCCAGCAGGACTGTGCAGCATCCCCATGACCCTCTCCAAGGCATATCCCCTCCCTGTTCCTAAAATCCTGAGGCTGATCCCTTTTTCTCATTCTTCAGCCCCATTAGTGCTGATTGTTCAGTGTAGCTCAGTCTCTCCCTCCACTCCCTGCTCAGCTCCGGGCCACCCCTCTCCCTCTCCCCACACATCCCTCCCACAGCAGCCCAGCAATGCCGAGGGTTTCCAGTACCTGCACGGCTGAGTTGTACTTTTCCAGCTTCTCCCCAATGGTGGTGCTGCTACCTGGGATCCTCAGACTTGCGCTGGTGAAGAAAAGGGGAGAGAGTTGAACACAGCCCCCTTGGGATCACCTGGGACTCAGCCCCTGTTCCTGGGGGGCTCCACTTGGGAGGAGGAGACCCCGTCTGACCCAGGCACTCCCACATCCATCTGCCGAGTGAACCAAGGCAGCTCATTCCCTGCTGGTGATTGAGATCTCTGGGTCTCACCATCTCACTAGGGCTCCGAGCTCCTCAGTTTACCCCGTGCCACCACGGACAGGTCTGAACTGCATCTCCACCAATATCAGTACGAGCTTGCCTATAGCACACATAGGTGTGAGCCCAGGTGCCCGCAAAGCCTCACTCCCTGCCGTGCCCTCAGGTGGGATCGGGCATCCTGTTGTGTCCCTGCATCCAGACCTGAGCCCGTGGTTCCCCAAGAGGTTTTGAGCCACCCCTCCAAGCCTTGCCATGTGAATGGAGAGGATCGCTTGACCTGGCCTCCAAAGCGAGATCAGATTGCTCAGGGACCTGTACTGTTGGGTGTTGATATCAGCAAGGATGGGACCCTGTCCAGTTGACACTTAACCACTCCCGTGCAGACACAAGCATTGAAGAGAAACTACATCAGCCAAGAGACAGCGGGTGGTAGCTGAGGGGACGTTGAACGTTGGCCTGTCCTCTGCTAAGCATCGCTGCCTGGTCAGCCAAGCGCCCCGGGGACCAACGTTCATCAGACTTGTGCCAGGGCACTCGCTAGCTGGTACCAGGTCCCATCACCTCCTCCTCCCCTGGAAAACAAGGGATGACAATCCTGCCCAGTGACAGATGCTCACCTCCTTGTGAGAGGGCTTTGGCTTTCTTCCTTCTGTTTTCTTGAGATCACCTGGAAGACACAAGGAGAAGAGATGCTGGAGACGTCTTTGATGTCTCAGGCTCAGCTTCCAGTTTTCAAGCTGGCTCCATTTCCACCCACACCAGAGCCTATCTTAAATCAAAGCTCTCCAGACTAAAGATGGTTTGTAGTGCTAACAATTTTATTCCCAATAAAGCACCATGAAAGTCAATTAAGCCTGGCCAATGAGCCCTGCCTCACAGCAGGGAGGATCTCAACAGCTCTTGGTTTTCCCAGCCTCTCCAAGTGCTTTATTCCAGAGATCTTTTTTGGGGGGCTAGACTTGAAGATATTCTCAGGGATGTAATAAGGGATAAGAAGGAGGATGGATTTTATTTTTCTCCTGTCCTCTCAGAGAAGACTAGAAATGCCAGAGGGTGGATGGTCATTCCTGTGACTCCAGAAAATCTGAGGACAATGAAGCTCCTGTTTTCTCATCACTTCCCCCAAATTTCCACGCAGCACAAAGCACATGTTCATTATCACGGGCCTTGGGTCAGACACAGAAAAGGGAAATGGAGGAAAGACCGAAGCAGAACTGCAGTGCCCAGATCAAGGATGGATTTTGAACTCGCTTTTGGGAACAGGCTCTGTCAACAGAACATGGAGACCAAAGCAACCATTCCTTCCCCCCATCCTCCACTGGCTAAATGGGACTTTCTCCCGCCAGCTTTAGCTCTTACCCGAAAGGAGACGGTTCTTGGGCTGGTTCGTCTGATGGAGCTGCTGTAGGTGACAGGAGTTGGAGAAGTATCTGACTTTTCTGTAGGTTCATCTTGGGTGGGAGGCAGCTGTATTACCTCCTTTGAGGGATTCCTGGGTGGTTGCTGCGGAAAAAGCAGACATGGGGTGCAGCCCTGCAGAGTCTGCAGAGAAAGCTGAGGCGCGGGGAGCAGAGCAGCTGGGGTGGGAACTGGTTTGGAGGCAGGAGCTTGAGATTGAAATCCTCCCAACCCTGGCTGTCTCACTGGGATACACAAGGCTCCAAACACCTCTTCAGCAAATTGGTAGGGGCTTGTTAGAGAAGGTGATCAGAGCACTACATGCAAGGGAGGGGCAGGAGGTGGTGGGACCCTGTCCACCACCGCATGGTTTCCAGCTCTCAAAAAAACCTTCCCGAAAGCCCACGGGCCCCGTTTCCCTCCTGGTACTTCTGTCCTTTCCCTCTTTCTGTTGTCCTCCCAGCACCCAGGACCTCGCACCCCGGGGGCTGGTGCCTTGTCCTTTCCTGCTCACCTGCTGGTCCAGAGATGAGGTCACCACCGAGGTTGTCTTCTCCTCTGTGCTGCGGCTTCCCTGTCTGGTCAGGATCTTCACTTCGCGGAGCCGGCAGCCCCCCACCTCCGGCGGTTCCCTCTGTGGCAGCTCCCCCACCACCTTCTGCTCCCCCGGAGGCGTTGCCACACCTTGTCCCTCTTTGTCCTGGAGCCGTGCCCTCACCATCTCCTTCCTCTTCTCCCCCCAAGGCGTCTCCACACCTTGTACTTCTTTGTCCTGAAGCCGGCCCCTCACCACCACCTTCCTCTCCGTGGCTGGCTCAGGGTGCTGGTCTCCTGGCGGGTCCCCTCTGCCCTTCGCAGCGTCCTGGCCCCGCTCTCCAGCCCAGATGCTCTCCTGCCCCACGCGTGGATGTATCCCTGCCTCCACGCGGCTCGCTCCAACCCCTGGCTCCTGCTGCTCCTTCTCCTGCCTCAGCTTTTCAGAGACGGCCATCGGGGACCTTGTCCGCCTCCCTTCTTGTGTCTTCAGCACCTCTGACAGCTTATGCTTTTCCTCATCCTCTGGAGACACCGGCTTCACCAGGGATTGAGGTCTAGAGACAGAGAGAAAACAGGGGGGCAAACCTTAGCACCCCAGGGCCAGAGGGATGGCTTCTGCCCTGCAGGTGAGGTTAACCCAGGTGAAAGGAGGGCATAAAATTCCCACCAACATCTCTGGAGTCATCCCTGCAGACCAGGACTTGCAGCAACACTCATCCCTGTCACCTAAGCGAGCCTTTCCAGGGACAAGTTTGGATTCAAAGTCTTTTTTTTTTTTTTTTTTTTTTGCCCTTTTTGTGGTGGAGATTAAGCATTTCTGCAGCCTCAGGACATCAGGATCCACCAAGTCCTGTGCCAAGGAGCTGTGGGCTCAGAGCAGTGTGCTGGGTCTGCTGCCCGATGAGACGTGCCTCTGTGGCTCTTTGCTGGATCAGGAAAAAATACCACTATCCTTAAGTTTAAAGTGTTGGCTGTAAGACAACCGGCTATGGCAGAGTTAAGCCACAGTCTCAACACATTCTGCAAAACAGACATTTTCCCCTCCGTCTCACAGGCAAGATTTGGGAAGAGCCAGGTAGTACATTTGTCCAGGGCCACACAGACTGTATCTACACCATCTCCAGGGACTGGGAAGGAGATGGGATGTTTGCCCTCCTCCTGAACTGCAGTCAGCACACGGCCAGCCTGTGCTAGCACCAGGGGAGGGGGACACGTCCTATCCAGCTTGTTCATGTTAGCAATGTCGAACCCCTGTTCAGCCTCGCTAGGCACCTGAACTCCATCACATCTGCAGAGAGAAACACCTGTAGAGTGTGGGTGGACATAAGCCATCGAAATACCGGACATTTCCAGGATCAATTCAGAGAGTGGGTCAGGTTGTGTAAGGGCAGCCTGATTTCAGGGCACCTCCAAATCCCTGCAACAAGGGACTTTGGGAGCAGCACTGGAAAGCCTTTGGGTCACCTCCCCACTTCAGCACGGGTCATACAACATCACTGCAAGGCTCACGGGAGCAGGAGGACAGCCAGCCAGGTGCTGCTCAGCCCACCCACCCTGCAGAGAAGGGTGCCTGTCTGCTCTTCCCTGCTCGAGATGCCACTAGGACACGGCCAGCACCCACCTCAGCTCAGCCTCAGCACCAACCCTCACCCTGGCACACCGGCACCCTGGCCATGGGACGTGTTGAGGCCCGTGACTGAACCCCCCAGAGATATACGCCTCTTCTTCTGCTCCTCCAGTGAAGCCCGTTCTCCTGCCCAAGGGCCCACTGGACCCCTGCTCTTCCCGCAGCCCAGCCCACTTTCCTCCAGAAGAGACTCCCACCAACTACAGCAGCTTTGGTGCAGGGTGAGAAAAACAAGGCAGCAAGCCGTGAGCTGTCAGCATCACGAGTGAGACTGATGCTAGCAGGACCTCACACACCTGCTGGAGGCTGGACTGGTGTCTTTGACAGGGATTGGAGGTTCTTCATCCGTTGATGTGGAGGACAAGAGGCTGCGGTGCCTTCGCCGGCGCTCTCTTTGCTGCTCTTCTTCATCCTCAAGGTTCCTCTGCCTGGCCAGGCTGTTTGGGATGAAACAACACCACGGTGAGGCTGTGCCCTGCACGGGGAGCTTGCAGCCCTGATGCCAGACAAGAAAGGAGACCAAAACATCCTTGGGCTGGCAGGGGTTGCCTTCCCCAGCCGCTGCATGGGGCTGGAAGAGAAGGACGCCAACGCGAGCCAGGTGTTGCAAAGTGCTCTCGCTCCACCCAGCTGATGCAGGCATTTCCCAACACAAGTGCTTGACTTTACAACTCCTAATTTCTTCTGTTGGAGGGAGCACTCATTGAAAAGGAATCCCTACATTAAGCAAATCTTCTGGGCAAGGATATTTCACCTGTAAATCAGCAAGACCAGGATCCTAAAGCCACCGCAGAGATCTCGATCACATGAACTGGAAGGGCAACCACTAGTGGCAGAAGATTTCAGCCCCAGTGGGAGTTGTGGGGATGTAATTTTAATTTTTATTGAGCAAAAGGCCTCAGAGCATCAGAGGCTGAAGGGCGAGCACTGCTGACGAGCTCTGCCTGCAAGCAGGGATGACAGGAGCTCCTCTTACTCCCTGCATGTGGCTGGTACTGTGAATTTTTTATAATCAGATTGTACCAAAAAGACAAGGCTTGTCATGACTTTTAAGAGGTCATCTTTAAAGATTTTATTTTGCACAAGCCTTTTTTTTTTTTTTTTAAATAAAATGCCACCCTGAATATAAAGTTTTTTGGAAAACACCCGCTTTCCCTTCCTTTCTCTTTGCAAAACCTGCCCACCCTCTCTGTCGGTGCATGAACTGTGTTGGAAAATGTTTTTTATTGGCTGGATTGAGCTTTTCACAACAGTGTTCATCTACCTACAGCACTAGTCCTCAGCTGCAAACACATGCAGGGGTCCATGTGGACACCCAGCACCCCCAACACCCAGCGGGGCAGAGTCCCCGTGCACAGGCTCCATCCCATCGCAGTGTCCCAGCTCTGGAGCTGGCACTCCGCTTTCATCCAGATTCAGGGTTTATTTTGAATTTGACTTTTAAGAACGTGAAAGTCAGAGCAGGTCCAGGCCTGCGGTATCGCTAATGTCGTTGCGGACACGGTGACTCACGGCGTGGTTTACGAGTTACTGTGTAATGAAAGCTGGGTCATAAATTAAACCACATTACCCCCCGCAACTATTCACGGCTTCTGTTCTTTCTGGTCCGTGGAGGCCGGGGAGAGCAAAAGGGTCAGCGGAGCAGAACGGAGAGCAAAGGGGGGACGGGTCCTGGCTGAGAGCTCAGCGCCCGTTTGGGGACAGGGCGATGCCGGGCAATGTGCTGCCATGCCCTCCCACTGCCCCCATCCCCATCGCTCCCAGCTCCCCCAAGCACCATCACCCCCCAGCAGCAATCAGACACACTGCTGGGGGGCTCCAGAGTGGTCCCTGATGCCATTGGGAGTGACAGGGATGGAGAAGGCTGGGACCCGCCCCAGGGAGCCCGTGAGGATCCCCAGTTGGTCTCACCCCACTAAGGGACACCTCCCTGTCCAGCATCCAGCTCCTTGGGGCTGTACTCGCCCCCATGGGCCTGACCCTGTAAATATTTGTGTACGGCTCAGCTGCGCTGGGAAGGCAGCACGGCTTTATTTGCACAGCACGGCGTGATCTCCTGGCAAGAGGTGCTGCTGCAGCAATCACTGCACACACACATTCCCACCCGGCAAGGCTGGCACGTGCATGGGGATGTATGCACGCAGGTGCCTCTGCTGAGTGCTCTTGTCCCTCAAGCAGTGACAGCACAGGGTGCTAATGCCAGTTTAAACCCACATGAGAGTCAGTTACTTCTTTGTTTTTGCATGCACAGGCTCCTTGGAAGTGAAAAATTGGATTTTCTGCCTTGAATTTGCTCGGCTCCTGCAGAGGCAGCACCTAACCTGCCATTATCAACATGCAGTTTCTCATTATTTGCAATTAAGTAATCCACCCATTAGACTATGGATTTGCTTTGCCAATCTTTCCCTCCTCTTTTCCAAGAGGGATTTATTTTTCACCATCTTACCTTTTTTAGCCTCAAAGAGATGAATAAAAACAGATTTGCAAGTTTCTCCCTGCCTCATCCTCCCCTCCTCTGTTAATCATTACTGCTGAGATATCTGACATTTCTGCTGTTTCAGTGAATGCTATCTCATCTAATGAGAGAGAAGAAACTGCCTTCCTGGGTGGTGAAACAGCCTGGGTGCAGGACCCTGCTGGGCTCACGTTCGAGCAGGTCAGTGGCTCAGAGGAGGTGGATCTGTCCGGGGCTGGGATGCCCTCTGGAGCTGTCCCAGCCGTGACAGAGGTGGGATGTGAGCTGGCAGCCTCCGAGCAACGGCGTCTCTCTTCATTCCCATTTCTGGGCTGGCCACGGTGGGTGTCTTACTCTTAAGTACTGGTGTTTGCAGTTAATCTCGGGGTCATCACATCCACTCAGACTAGGATTTCTGCTCCCTTTGAGTTACCCCACCTGGCAGCTGAGGTCAGCAGTGTTTGCCACGGGGTCTGCAGGAGGTCCAGAGCGATGCTCACATCACCCAGGCTTCATGTGAGCCCCCGACTCACCCCATGATGCGTGGGATCCTCACCTGCCCCGGCTCCCATCAGAGCCA